CTCTTGGTTTCATTATAATCCCTGCAAATAATACTGACCACTTTTAGCCTCACATTACGTCTATTTTCTTGACTAAACGGTGTCCGCAATTAAGGTTTGACACCGCACTTTATAGGAGCCTTAAATAATACTATCAGCACAAGAACATATTACCTGTGATCATATTGTTTCTTTACCGAATGGGATGTTCACTTCCGTGGAGTAGTACTATTACACCGAAATTATATGAAATCATTCCACACAGTTTTACTAGTAACAGAGGCTTATAATTTATCACAAAGAAAAGAAGCCGCTGTAGCCACAAGGATGCAAATTACCATAATCTGCCATACCTCACGCCCCTCTCTTCCATAAAGAGGTTATCAGAGCATCTTTAAACAGCAAAACACTCAGGTTAAGTCACGTTTTTGTAAACAAGTGCTTAAACAATGCAAAAAATCAAACCTGACACTAAGTCATGGAAGTGGTATCTTGGGAAACAAGCCATTAGCAGTCGCTACAAATAGATCCCGAGTTTCTTTTTGTTTCACAGCAATTAGCTAAAGGAAAATAATTGTAGCGGCACTTTCCGCTCATGAATAATCTAAAATCGGTATTCTGTTTTTCTCATGACAATTATTTTATTAAGAAAACAAAATACGCCATTGGTATTGTTTGATTGACAGACTGCACAATTCAGCGGCCTCTTACTGACCCTGTTTGAATTATTTTATCATTTTGTAAATTTTATCGAAACGGACAGAAAATTGATTTTTAAACGAAACAGACAGAAAATTGATTTTTCTGTAAAGGTGATACTTTATTTAGATTGTGAGAGAACTCGCTTCTTTAAACACAGCTGGGGGTTAAACAAAAAAAACGCTAATATCAACTGTTTTTCGCTATTACTTCTATTTTTGATCGGGGTCGCTTTCAAGTTTTCAGTCGATCATTTCGTTTTCAGCGCATGCCCTTAGGGCTTGTTTTAATAGAATAACCCTCTATCGATTGTTATTATTACTTGTTACCAAATCTTGTTTTGATAGAATAACGAAGGGAAATAATAAAATAACCTGCTCAAAGATCGGTTTTGTCTGATCTTTCTGCTTAGATTTTTCTCAGTTCGCGACTAGTTGGAGAGAAAATTTCAGCTGTTTTATGGCGAGCATATGTCTCCAATGTAATTGACGCGACAGCACTTGAGAATAAATGCGCATTTGACATAAGCTCGTGATTTCGATGTCTTCTTAAAGTTACAGACCATAAAACGTGGAGAGATTCTTTAAACTGAAGCACAACAAAGAGAGCTTTGCGCTGTGTAAACAGCCTCTGAAACAATGTAAACTCTGCAGTTTACTTTAGTCTGTTCACCAAAGATGTAAGCTTGAAGCCGTATCGCGCGCCGGAAAGAAATTCATATATGATTCAGTTAGTGCCAAGACAAACGTGATAATCTTACTAAAACTGTTCAACTTGGTTCCGTCTTATCTAACAAAGCATTAATAAGTTGATTAGTGAATCAAAAAATTGCTAATAACGGTTAGCTTGGAATCAACGATGGTGAATGTGATGATTTCTTTGCTTCGCAGTCTACGTTGTAATTCTTAATTTACCGTTGCGATCCACTCCACTCCGGCAAATTACTAAACTTGGTTATGGCTCCGACGAAACTCCTCCACAGAATATCAACGCAGGTATATGGTTTGACTGTAATTCAAGTGACCGTAAGGACGGACGCTCAAGAACGGCACGATTCCGAAGTAAACAAGCTCGATAGCCGTTCAGTAAGAGCCCGTTTAAGCTTTTCATCGATCAGTGTCACACAACTGACAAGAATGATAAATTGCGATTCACTTTTCCCTTAAAATCCAGCAGACATCGTGACCGCAAAGTTTGTTAAGACAATTGACTGTAAGCCATAAGTCACTTACTGACTAGCGTCGATAGAAACCAAGTAACCCGTTGGATTTGCTTAAAGTATGGCTCAATATATCCCCAAAACCTCGACAAGAATTTAAACTGCCTAAAAAAAACTCGACCAGCCATGACTCACCTCTGATAAAGAAAGGATTGTCAATCACAGTATTCTAGCGAACGGCTCTCTTCACTGAGATAGTGACTTCTTCCAATGAGAAGGCAGCTGTGCCTCGTAGAGGATACTGTTGGTGGTGTTACAAGTTGAAGCGGTGTATTTACGTGTGGTCAACTTAAGCCTCATGAATAAAAAATCACACGAAAGGAAACACTTCAAACTTAGCTGTGGTGTGACTCAATAAAAAAAATCAAACTTTGATGCGACCACAAGGACAGCAATACATAGCTCTAAACTATAACGAGCTCGAAAGATTCCACAACAACGATACAATACCTCGTCTCTCTAGGAACCATCCTTTGAAAGCACTGGTTCCGTATCCTATTCTTGTTTGTCAGCTTTGCTCGAGGCGTTCTTTCGTTCTTATGTTTCAGTATTCAATGCTTAGGGCTATTTAACAGCCTGGTATGTTGATAGAAACCGAAAATAGCAGAGCATACCGCAAGTGGAAACAATCTGACACTGACCGCCACAAGACTTGGAAGTGACACGTTTTTTGTGGTGTTTGACAACTGACAAGCGCTCTCCGCTTCACTGCTCAGATGTTTGTATAATAATTTATTTAATTTCTCTTAAAAACAGAAAGGTTTTCATTATGCTATTGTTAGAGGGTGCTGACCCGCCGTCAAAACACTGAACGAGTGAATGGTAACCAAAGCTGGCCTGTGAAGTCTTGTTCCCGAGTATTCCGAGACATTAGACCGCCGGCGTTCGCAGTCAATTATTATCTCAATTGGATATCTTTACAATGAACCGACCCACCGCGCGTTTTACATTTTAGGAATTTTTATGAAGTCTATAATTATAGAGCCCTGAGAGTCTTTTCTTCGAAGAGTCGCAGAATGCGTCTCTTACCACGAAGGGGCGGATTTTGACAGAGACGCTCTCTGTTTTTCTTGCAATTTGTGCATCAGTTGTAGTGTTTTCTTTTTCACTTTTTTAAAACTTAGTCTGTTTATTCTACAGAAGATATACATGTTAACCGTGGAATGTGAAACAAAGCTGTTCGTAAATCCTTTGATTACAGTTCTTTTGTTGAAGTAATCGTTATACCGTGATTGGCCTTACATGTGCACGAAACTTGTGTCCAGTACAGCTCTGCCCGTATTTTCGTGACCTTCTCTGCATTCATGTTGACAGGCGTTGAAGTTTTCAGTCAAGAGAGCTCATCACCTTGAAAAGACCCTCCATTCTGCTGCTCTGTGATTGCACCAATTAGCCACAAGGCAAAACCTGACTCAATTCCCTTAGCTTTCTTTTCTGAAACAATGTAATGTATTTGAGAACGTAACAATATTTCCAAGAACACCACAGGTACGTGCCATGCTAAGTTTATCATCGTGATGTGCGATTATTTTAAAAACAATTTGTTTCAGCCTGCACGTTTTCATCTTTTTAAAACTTATGCGTCACAAGCTTTAAAACACAAGTGACAAACAACCCAACAATCATTTAGTCAAGTCTGAAACATATCGATTGGTCACCTTCTATATATTACTGTGTTCATTCTGATGTTATAG